GAAGCCCAGGGCAGAGCAACTCTGCCTCAGGCTTCCTGTAGTCAGCCGCTGGTCAGTTTCAACAGCGGATGAATCTGGACGCCAGTTCCGACTTACATACAGATTCAACTTAAGAACAAACCTACAGTCCCTATCTTGTACGTAACCCGGGGACTGCCTGTACAGATTTCATGGGATTAAAAGCACTTGTTACATCCTCTGTGTTCATGAAACCTTTGGATGGAATACAAGGTAAATACTACAGTAACTGTTTTATAACAGTCTGCTTGGCATAGTACCAGGGACAATAAAAGTGATTTCCTGGCTACTTTTTATTATATTTTTCCTATTCCATTGGTTTTAAATTTTGTAAAATTCCCGTATCTTCCTGCAACACTCCCTTATGGATATGGCAATCTTCTGAAACATTTTTGGGGGCCTTACTGCATTTAGTCTATCATTACAGGCCAGGGATTGTGTATAATTTCATGGAACTGATTGCCATGGAATGTTGTGAAGGCTGTAAGCATACCTAGGTCCAAAAAAAAAAAAAAAGAACTAGATAAGTTCATGGAGACCACAGACATTAATGGCTATTAGCCAAGATGGTTGGAGATACAACTCCATGCTCTAGGTTGGGGTGGAGAACCTCAGGCCTGGGGGCCAGATGCGGCCCTTGGCTTGCTTGGATTCAGCCTCTGAGGCTCACGGCTCTCCCCTAGCAATGGGGAGCTGACGCTGGTGCTCCAGCCCTCCTGCCACCCCACCATGGGGCTGAAGCACACAAAATGTACTTGGATGGGTCTCCCTAGGCTCCTGTGTGCCAGGTCAGTGACAGTTTATTTTGTATTATTATTAGCTTCTCACTTATGTGTGGCCTCCAACTGATTTTTCTGCGGGGCAGTGGCCCCCGACCCAAAAAAGGTTCCCCACCGCTGCTCTAGGTGTTGATAGTCCTATAACTGCCCAAAGCTGGGACTGGACAACCGGTGACCACTAGAAATTGCCCTGTCCAATACATTGCTTTTGAATATTCTGGCACTGGCCACAGTCAGAGACAGGATACAGAGCTAGATGGTCCGTTGTTCAGTCCAAGTATGGCCCCTCTCACATTCTTATGTCCAGGATGAGAGCCTGAGCAGTGGAGATTGGGACTGGGTAGGTAAAGGTAATATGATTGGGATAAAGAGTGACGAACAGTAAGAGATGGAGAAACAGAAAAGTTGGTTCAGAGTGTAGACAGTGTATCTGTGCCCACTATTAAATGTTCCCCTTTAGTATATGAAGGAAATTCTTTTCTATAACTTAATCGATGAATTTAAATTCTCAAAGAAATGAAGGTTTGTCAGGGCATGATCTCTTTTACCTCAAATAAATAATGTAACTATATTCAAAGGCAGATGGATATGGCCTTAAGTTTATCTCTAGCACACAAATTTGGAAATTGCCTGCGATGGGTAATTTTTTTTATTCTATATCTATGAGGCAACAAATTGAAACTAAGAGCTATAATTCTACTCAGATGAATATAATTCTTTACTCCATATGCTAACTGGTCAAAGACTTCTACTATAGATATGGTCAAGGCACCATATATTTTAGTATAATCATTCCAGACAATTACAATTTTTTTTCCTATGGGTTTTTTATTTCCTACTGATTCAATGAGACATTTGTAAAGCCAGCAAGCACACTTTTAAAAGCTATGCATCCTGAAAAAGTGAGCAATTAAAAATTAATGATCAACTAGCAGGCTTTAACATACAGAAAAGTAAACCCATTTAATGTAGATATAAAACAAATTACATACCATAAACCAAGCTTTGCACTAGGAACTATATAAAGTAAGTTACACATTATTCAAAACGGACAGGGGAGAGATGGGTACGAACGCAGGGTATACAAGTGAACTCATGAAAGCTCTGGAAAATCTCTATAGCAACTGCTTTATTCTTTCACATAAATTGGCAAAGGCCAAGGCAAAGAGGCACATATTGGCTACTTCCTCCTAGCAATAATACAATATTGACTATTCAACTCACTCTCTCTCTTTACATTTTGCGGTAACACAAGATATGTCCTATGATATGTTAGTTGAGCAGAGAGTATGTCACTTTCCTAAGCCTAGCAAATATTCCTAGAAATTGATCAATTTATTTGAGAATGGCCAATGAGAATTCCTGGTGCCAAAAGGCATAACTTTCTGTCCGGAAATTCCTTTTGGCCTTTCCAATCTTTTATTTCAACAGACACTGAGCATAACTAGTTCTTGTAACCAGGTCAACAGAGAATTCAGGGTAAATAGTCTAGTATTGTTCCAAAAAAGAAAAAGCCTACAAACAAAACTACCAAGTGTACCCTTACCTGGAAACCACCTTCATTCAAGGCTCTAGCACCATAGGCAATCCTTTTCCCACCCTCTAAAGTGGGCTCCACACTGGGATGATGCTTCCATCTCTGGAATTCTCTAAATGGACTTAAGTAGGGATTTTTGTAATCTAAGCCAATCTTTAATAAAATAATAAAATAAAACACGCCATTAGGCATATTAAAATGTGAACATTTCAACAAAAAGTTATTTTATACTCCTACTTTAAAGTGACATCAGCATTAAAATATGGTATGTTAAATCTATTTTCATGTTACAACAACTTCAGGATCTTTTAATTAAAATTCAAGATGAAAGAAGCAATCAAACTATATTAATGAATCATGATCTATTGCAGAGCTATTAACACAATGCTCAGCGCCAAGTCAGAAGACTTTGCTACAAGGTTGTCACAAAAGTATCTAACCAAGTTGTAACTAGCTCCCATAACTATCCCCAGTAGAAATTAATAAGGGAGCAATGATATAAAGACAGAATGAAGAGACTTCACCAGTTGGCTGAATGCCCAGAAGTTCATATTTCACATTCAATCAAAATCGTGGACAAAGATGTGTCTTGCATATTTTTAGATGTGGTCAAGTTTCAGTTTTGATATATTCCTGACAGTAACAATTCCAGAAGCCTGATCCTTATGTTAAAAAATCCTGTTTCTGGATCCTGCAAGCTTCACTCTTGGAACAATTATTTTCAGGATTTGGGGCAACAGAAGAACATATCATGGGTGAGAGAAAGAGAGATCATTTTGGCCAAGGTTACTTACAGCATCTTGATTGCATCTCAGAGTTTACTCATTGCCAGTGGAAATGACAGCCTGTCATGCTTTAATAGCAGGCAACTACTTCATCAGATTTGCAAGAAGCTTTCACAACCAAGGTTAATGTACCAAGGGAAGTGACTCCAAAAAAGGTCACAGAGCAGTTTTTAAACTAAGAGATGAGGGAAAGCCAACTGGTGCAGAGGAGCACATGGATTGGACAGAGATGTCTCTTACAGGAGAGTCTGGAGGAGAGGATGGAAGAGGATAAGTTTTTGAAGTGCTTGTACACAAATGCTAGAAGTCTAAAGAATAAGATGGGTGAACTAGTCACAAAGTCACTCTTTGTATGGAACATGGGTGACCACATTGGGAGCTAATGTGCAGTTGCTATTCTGTGCTATTTCCTGATGTACAAAAGACCTTAAAAGCATTCATGTGCCAACTTTTCTAGTTGTGCCACCACTTACCATTAACTGAATCCCTCTATTCCTCCCATCAGTTACTGCATGGCCAAGACCCCTTAAGCAGTGGAGCTGGCAGAAGAACTGGGTATAGGGGAGAAGCTGTAACTAGAGGCAGAGCTGGTCCAAGAGAGGAGAGTGAATGAGAACAGAGCTGGAATGGGGGACAGAATTGAGATTGGGGTAGAACGGGACTGGAGGCAGTTCTGGCCTGGAAACAGAACTGGGCATGTAGGTGGAAAAGAAAAGGGGCTGAAAAGGTTTGGAGTGGAGCAGGTCTGAACACATGGTGTTCTCTTCCCATCCAAAGTGGAAAGGCCCAGGCCAACCCTCCCACAACCTTCCAAATGTTCCTCCACATTCCTGAGGGTGGTGTGTCGTACAGTTTGGGGCCACTGTCTTAATGAAAAGCCCTTGTTGCAACAGCCTGGTCCAGAGGTCATGAAGGTACAGGAGACAGTGGCAAACAAAGGGAAAATAGAGCTGTGCAGTGGAAAAGGCTGTTTACTACTTAAACAGGAGGGAATACATTTATCCGTGATCAGCATGGCAGTACAAGAACCAAATATTAACAAGCATTCTGAAAAAAAGCCAATAATAGTTTTTGTAAATGAGTACGTGAGTGCTAACATATGCAACTGGTTATGTAAACTCATTTACAATTCTACTCAACACTATCTTGCTCTTATTATAGATGATGCAAATAACAATATCTGTAATTATGGTTGCCTGGAACTTCCCATAATAAAAAACTCTTCCTTATGTAACCATCTGGGATAAAATTTCCAATGCTGGGTGACTGCCGTAACTTGAATTTCTTTCAGAAACTTTTATATAAATGGTTTGCATTTTCAGAATGAAGTGAAGGAAAAATACAGAATTTTGCATATTCTTACAACTGTTTGTTGAGAAGTTCTAAAATTTCCTGCTTTAAAGCAAGAAATTAAAATTTTGTTCTAGTAGCAAAATTTTACTTACCACAAACCCAAGAGCTACCAATGGTTCACCTTCATTTAAATGATAAAGAAATGATCCTCCATATGTGTGTCTGTCCAAGGGCCAGCCAACAGTGTGTTCTACTCTTCCAGGTTTCCATTTCTTTTCATCAATAAGCCACAACTGAAATAGAGGCTACTTTATAATGCAAGTATAGGGAGACTATCGGTATAAAAACAAAACTCAACTAAAAATGATTGCAAACAGATTACTTTGAGTTCACTACTGTGGCATATGATATAGCTCATACAGCTGAGGATAATGTATGGCAGTACAAATACTTTCTGAACATATTTTCAAGTGGCAATTCCAATACCTTCCTTCCTTAAACACCTAACATCAGCAAATTCAACAAACAGCATAGTCCATATTTATATTTATACTTATACCATGGAAGATAAAATTTGTCACAGTTCCTGCATCCATCATTAATCACACAAGAGACTGCATTTTGCATCAATTATTTTAATAACTTCTGCATGAATGAATGGAAGAAAAGCATGTGCTTACACTGATTTTTTTTTAAAGAAAGCAAAACTTTTGGGTTACTTAGTGAAATTTCTGTTTAATAACATTTTTACTTAGGATTTCAAATAAGCTACTCTAAATCATCTCATTTGGAACCTCAAAGGCCAATTTTCTTCTATTATATTGCACTACTTAAAGTTCATATAATTTCAGAGATTTAAAAAATATAGAAGTCTAAAATTTTATTTTGCAAATATACATAGTTTGGAGTGAACACTGATGGTTACACTTTGAATATACTTTGTTTAAAACCAACAGTTACTTTCCAAGTGGAATATATCTGTATTCAAAAAAAATATTGTACAAATATTTTCCAAAATTAAAACCTGCAACACAGTGCCTTAACTAAGCATGCTGAATTAACACTGAAGACAATGTGTACCCAGCACACACTGTCTGCTGGGTATAGATCACAGAACATTTTCTGCCATCACTTCACTGTAATGGAACAGAGGACCAGGCTAGCTTATACCTTCAACATGTCACAGAATAGTCAAAAGATGGAAAGATTATTAGGGCTTGCAAACAGCTGTGCAATATTCGGAACCATTTTCCAACTTAGTGGTATCTTTGTTCTCCCTTACTCAGGGACACAGTCAGTGCTAGGCTAAAAGTGGATCTTAAAAAGAAATATTTTGTACACTTACAATCTGAAACTGAATATAAACTACATCAATTTAAAGAGTGAATTTAATTTGGAAACAAAATAAAATGGACAGTGAAATGACCTGCACAACCTCACAAGGAAAAGGGGGGTGTCAAACAAGACTACCCAGAGTTAGCAGGAGAAAAGCAAAAGTCAATGTCACATAGGAAGTTAAAGGAGACTAAAAAGGAAAAGTACCATAAACAATAACCCTGCATAGATGGATGTCAGAAACTAGGCCTTTACACTTTATTTTGTAATACCAAAATGTTTCAAAAGTTTAAAAACTTCAAGTTTTTGTCAAAATCTACCACTCACACTCCTTAAGTGTACAATCTAAAGCAGTTTATTATTTTTAGAAAGCAGTTCATACACACAATTGGAAACAGTCTAGTTTGCAGAAAGTCTAATACTCTAATTATTTAAGCTTACAAGTATTGTACTAAAGCTATGTACCTCTTTCAGTCCAATACCGTAACTTTGGGGTTGACATTTCTCCCTTAGATTGTATCTGTTGTACAGCTGTTTGGCAAGATGTCCATGACAACCCTCTGCAAAGAACGTGACTTTGGCATGTAGCTCCAAACCTCTTTCAAAGGTAGCCTGTAAAAGTAGAGAATCTGTAATCATCACAATTGTTTAGGGAACATGAAAGAGGGAAAGGGAGGCACTGTGCGGCACTGCCCCTTTGAAACGCTGTGGCGGCATTTCAAAGGAGCAGCGCCACATGGAGCCTGGGATCAGCTGTGTGGTGCTGCCCCTTTGAAATGCCGTAGCGGCGTTTCAAAGAGGCAGCGCTGCCCTATTGACTAATCAAATAGTCGATGCAAAAATGCATTGACTATTCAATTAGTGAATTACTCGATACTTAACATCCTTAGTTCAGGCCCTTTTACCAAGCATCAAGAGGCCAGAGTGGAAGCGAAGACCTCACCCAGATAACTGTGCCATGGATCCACAGAATTGCTGCAGTGTCCCCAGTTTTAAACAGTCCCATTGGGAGGAACCACTTCATTATATCAGATCCCCAGAGGGTCTTGCTCTTCCCTCAGGACAGGCTATGCACCACCTCACCACCTCCTGAGACAACTTTTAAGGGCTTCAGCACTCCTGCTTCACATGGTGAGCTTTGCTCAGCAAGTCCAATCAAGAGAGACTCCTGGTTAGAGACCTGTATGCTTTTCAGGGACAAATGTGGCTTATCAAGTATTTGCAGTAACACGCAATCAGCGATTTCAAAATTGTGGATTTTGGTAGTCAGCTGGTACATAGCACTGGAAGTCCTTCAGTTAGCACAGAAAAATAAAGGGTCAAATGGTTTATACTTGTCAGCCAAGACAATGCATCAAAATGATAGCGGGAGTGGGAAGATGAGAGGTAGTTGTAGAAGTTTTAAGGACTCTGTACGTTTAGTGTTCTGAGGACTTGTCAGTTAAAAAAAATTGAAAATAAAAAAGAGTTTAAGAACAGCTATCAGCTCAGGAGACTGCTGCAATTACAAATGTGAAACATTTACGTGACATAAAATATTAAATAAGTGTGTTTGTGTGTGTATGATTTAGATCTTACCATTCCTAATGTACTGCTGCTGCATCTGCAGCTTGACACTAGGGATGTGAAAGTGTAATGTTGTACACAGTTAACCAATGAACCTGGGCTCATCGGTTAACCTTCACGGTTACAGGCAGGCTCCTGGTATGTGCAAGGAGCAAGCTTAAAAGCCAGTTCTCCGCATGCACCAGCTCCCAGGGTGTTGCCTGTATCAGAGGCAGCAGCATGGGGGGAGGAGAGAGGGGAAGGGACAGGCAGGAGCTGGAATGCATAGGGAGTCTGTTTTTAAGCAAGCTTCCTGCCCCTTCCCCCTTTTTTTTGGTGATTTAAATCAATCCATCTTGGGTGAAAGCATCCATGCTCCTTCCAGAAATCAACTCTTGATTCCTCTATCTCAGGGTGTTGCCTGTATCAGAGGCAGCAGCATGGGGGGAGGAGAGAGGGGAAGGGACAGGCAGGAGCTGGAATGCATAGGGAGTCTGTTTTTAAGCAAGCTTCCTGCCCCTTCCCCCTTTTTTTTGGTGATTTAAATCAATCCATCTTGGGTGAAAGCATCCATGCTCCTTCCAGAAATCAACTCTTGATTCCTCTATCTCAG